GGGAAAGAGCAAACAAATGGTAGTGATCATGACCAGGGCAAAGAGATGGTAAGTAGGGATGCCAGTGGGACCTGGGGATCCCCGAGAATTCCAGCTCATCTCCAGCCTAAAGAGACCAGTTCCCCTGGAGGAAACGGATGCTTTGGAGAGTGGGCTCTGTGGCACTGTACCCCAACAAGGTCTTTGTCCTGCCCAGGCTCCATCTCCAAATCTCCAGGAGTTTCCCAACCTGGATCTGGCAAACCTAACACCTCCATGCCCACGGGTGGTCAGGGGTCCTTGGCAACCCTGATCATAGACCATCCAGAATCTGGAGCTGGTACTATCTGATGTTATAACAGCAAGTGAAACAACCTCAAGCATACAAACAGACTTGAAGCAGGAGAAAGATGTTCTTTTAATCACACAAAGGATTATTTGCTCCCATATTAATCTGCATGAGAATCAAGATCTTCTACAAAGATCTTGCTCCAGGCATTCCCCACAGAGGAGGAGGCTTTCAGTTGATTTTTTTTTTGTTCCTCCTGTGCAGTGTCAGTTTATTGAATTTAGCTGGAGATATTGATTGTTTTATTGTGTTTTTAATCATTGTTTTTATTGGACTGTTTAGATTGGTAATCCTATGTGGATCTTATTTGGAAGCCATCCTAGAAGCCTTTGGCTGAGGGTCGTTTTTTATATAAAGAACAAACAAACATTTTAGTACAGATGATAGTGGACTTAAAAGTTGCTGCTTTTGACAAGCAAGGAAAGCAGATTCTGGGATCTTGCCGCCTACAGAAAGATGGGAAGTCTGTGAACAGGCTTTTAACCTATGGGGTGAGTTAGGGTTGCCAGCTCCAGGTTAGGGATTTCCTGGAGAATTTGGGGGTGGAGCCTGGGTGGGTGTTTGGGGAAGGGAAGGACCAGTTGGCCACAATACCATGCAGTTCACCCTCCAAAGCAGCCATTTTCTCCAGCGCAACTGATCTCTGTACCTAGAGATCATTTGTAATTCCAGCCACACCTGGAGGTTGGTAGCCCTAGAGTGAGTACAGAACTACATTATCTAATTAATTACATGTCCAGAATAGGATAAGACAGGCTCATTGTAACCCCTCCCCTGTAAAAAGTCTAATCTCAGGACTTCATTGTAACAGAAATTTTTGTGAATAATATCCTTTGATGTGCACTATTCCCAGGAAAATTGCCCTTGTATGTAAGCTATGAATGCATCCCAAAGGATAGGAAATGAGTCTCATAGTTCTGATATTTTAAAAAGGTAAGATATCTGATCCCAAGAATTACCATCCAGTTAGCTTGTTAGAGTTTGGCTCAAAACTTTACACCAGCTGAAGAAGTCTGAAAAACTGGCCAGTCTAAACCACATTATTGAAGAGAAGAAGAAGAGAAGAGATTGGATTTATACCCCACCCTTCACTCAGAGTCTCAGAGCGGCTTACAAACTCCTTTCTCTTCGTCTCCCCACCACAGGCACCCTGTGAGGTAGGTGGGGCTGAGAGAGCTCTGACAGAAACTGTTCTTTTCCAAGAACACCTCTGACAGAACTATGGCTTGCCCAAGGTCATCCAGCAGCTGCGAGTGGAGGAGTGGGGAATCAAACCAGGTTCTCCCAGAATAGAGTCCGTGCACTTAACCACTACACCAGACTGGCTCTTGTAAAGGAATAGGTTGGGAGACTTAAAAAAAGAGATAGTTAAACATTCCATACTTAGCACTCTGATGAACAAATATACATAAAGTCTTTAAAAACATTTATATTTAGCATTTGTTGATGGCTCTGTCACTTGGATAGGATCAGTAGGATAAACTGGGGCTGATATTGAGTGGTAAAATCCTCGAGAGGTAACTTTCTCTTTAGGTATTAAAGATACTTACAGATAGCTATAGATGCATAGTGTATGTTTGTGTGTGTGTGTGAAGGGTCAGCTTTCTCATTACATGGGGCGATAAATACGGTTGTATTTTAGGTTCTCCTGTTATTTCATTTGCATGTCAGTGATTTGGTCCCAGAATGACAAAACTCTGTTGTATTTTCTCATATCAGCTTTGCCACACAAAGTTCTGGAGCACAGGCGGACTGGCCATTTAACTTACAAGGAAATTTCCTGGTGGGCCACTGCCCTAGAGGGCCATTGGGGGCTAGGAGCAAGCAGAACCAAGCTCTAGTAACTCTGCCCGAGCCTTGGGGCCTGCTTGACACAGGCTGCTCCAGGGCTGTTTCTGCTTCCCATTCTGTTCCTCTCCTGAAGTGACTATACTGTCTTTGCACTGGTGTTATGGTGCTGTTTTCATTTGCAGAAGTAGGTCTGAGATGGTTATTGGTAGATTAAGGCTTGAACAGTCAGAGAAGGAGAGAGACTAAAGCGATGGTGGTGGGTTTTCTTTTCCCTTAGGGATGCCAGCCTCCAGGTGAGACCTGGGGATCCCCTGGAATTAAAGCTCATCTCCAGACTACAGAGCTCAGTTCCCCAGGAGAAAATGGATGCTTTGGAAGGTGGGCTCTATGGCATTGTATCCCACTGAGGTCTCTGTCCTCCCCAAGCTCCATCCCCAAATCTCCCTCTGTGCAAGGAGAAGATAGGAGAGGTACTGAAGCTTTTTTCAGCTGTTACGTCCGTGCATACCGGGTGCCTCCCATCCACACATAGATCCCCTGAATACATACGGTCCCCATGTTGTTTAGAACTGGGGCATCAGACATATTTTGCAGGCACAAACAGCTTTGGTGCTCATAAGGAACTGACCACTGCAGTTTTCAGGGTAATGGTTCATGCATACGGAATCTATATACGCATGCAAAATACCCACGCTGCCCCTGTTCAGATAACATGGCAGCCACTCACACTGGGAGCATCATAGATAGCATGCATTTCTAGTACCCAAGGCTGTAATATCTGGAAAGGACTTGAACGGGGGGGGGGATATCTATGGCCTTTCCCCGCATGTTCCCCAGAGAGCACTGAGATCTGGGACGCAACATCGCCTGACCCTTCTTGGCCCTAAAGAGGCCAGGTTGACAACAACTAGGCCTAGAGCATTTTCGCTAGCTGCACCAGTATATTGGAATGAGCTCCCTAGTGAGATCCAGGTCCTGCGAAATCTCCAGCAATTCTACAGGGCCGTGAAGACGGACCTTTTCCAACGGGCTTACCAGTGAGAGTGACGGTATGCCAGCCAAGCCTGCCGACCTGCTATGTATTCTGTATAAGTAGTTAACAATGTGATCGATGTCTAGTTGTAATGATTTACCGAACTGCTTTTATTTATATTTATTGTATTTATGTAAAGTTGTTTTATGGAATAATAATAATAATAATAATAATAATAATAATAATAATAATGGCTACTAGGGATGCCAACCTCCAGGTGGGACCTGGGGATCCCCCGGAATTCCAGCTTATCTCCAGACTACAGAGATCAGTTCCTCTGGAGAAAATGGATGCTTTGGAGGATGGACTCTGTGGCATTGCACCCCAGTGAGGTCCCTGTCCTCCCCAGGTACCACTCCCAGATCTTCAGAAGTTTCCCAATGTGGAGTTGGCAACCTTCCCCCCCCCCAATGCACACGTTGCTGATGGCCAGGGGGGACCTGGCAACCCTAGATGGGAATGGGTTTCCCCTCCATGCTACAGGCAAGTTACTTAATGGACAAGGCATGGAAAAAATTATGTACCTTGAGGATATACCTGGAAAGGCAGGACATGAGTGGGCTAAATAAACACCCTTACTTGGGGGTGGAGCATATTTAGAAATTAGCTTCTGCTTTGTTACTGTTTGTATTTTTTTTGTCCGTGCTTTCAGTTCAGTGTATGATATTGGTTTGTACGTTTATATTATGTATGGATATGGTTACAGATTTTTTAAATGCAATTTATGTGTGCCGTCTAAGATGTCTGATGCCTCATGTTGACAGACAAGTGCTGTTGAGAAAAGGCCTACATTTTCCAGGGAAAATTCAGTGGGAGTCGTAGACGAAACAGAAAGTGGTGCAAGAAGAATGAACCAGGGATTCAATTCACACAGAAGAGAAGCAAAAACAAAATGGAGATTTTTAAAACAACAACAACAACAACAAAGCAGCAGTGATGAGAAATTTGGAACCATCTCTGGTTGTGTTTTTAGAAAGGGATTTCTTGGAGTTGCCAGTTTTCTCCACTAAGCGGAAAGCTTTTGAGATCTTTGCAAGTGGGGTTCAGTCTTCCTAGCAGTGGGGAGGACAGGGGTGGGCTGGACATTCACTTACCAAGGAAGTTCTCAGTGAGCTGCTGTCCACATGGCCACAAGTAAACAGACCCATGTGGCCGCTGAGGTGCAAGCAGAGGCAGGGCTGACCCAGCCACAGAGACAAAAAACACCAGCCTGTAGGGGGCACTTCATTGGGTGGAAGTTATTGTTTTCTCCTCTGGAGTGGATTAGCTTTTCTCCACGTAGACTATAGAGTCCTAATACATGCTTCTCTTCAGTGCTACGATGCACTGCCCAGTGACCTCCCTTGTCCTCTGTGCTGGGGGGGAAGGGGCTGGGTCTGCATGGCAGGATCATCTCCGGCCTCCTTTCCAGGGCACCCGATCCGATCTGACATGTCAGAAGTCGCTCCCAATGAAACAGCTGCCATAGAAGCTCAGACAAGCTGCCTGTGTGTCCCAAGTTGACTGGTCAGGAGTAATTCCAGTAGATCATCTGTGGTGGTTGCTGTTTATCTTCTCGGCTCTGGATGGTGCATGCTGTTGGAGGGATAGGCACAAAGAATTAAGCTGTCTGGAGGGATAGGCACAAAGAATTAAGGTGCACATGGGGGGGCACAAGGGTGTGCCATGAGAACTGCAAGTCAGAGAGCATGAATGTGAAGGCAAAGGTGGGGAGAATAGGGGCCTGTGAAACTCCAGACCCCTGCCTGCAAGGAGAAGCTGGGGCTGGGCACTGCCATTCTCCACCTTGCTGGCTGCACCATGACCATGCTCCTTCCCACAGGGTGCAACTGGGTGCCACCATTCTCTATCCCACTGGTCACTCCCTGCTCAAACTAGTATAGGGTGGCCAGGTCTCCTGTCCTCCCCCCCTCCACCATCCCAGTCGCAAGCCACCACTCTGCATACAGTTGGGGGAAATGGTGGTGGTGGGAAATAGGCATTGCATGGATGCCACAGCATCACTTCTGGTGCAAATATATCCTTACAATGATAAGCTAAACGATAGAGTTTTGGAGAAATCCTACAGCCTCACAGCAACATGATGATGCTATTTCTGGGTTGGCACCGGAAGTGATCTCACAGCATTGGTGCCGCAGGATCAGGGGTCGTTTTGTAGAAAAAGAGCTAGGGGAACTCATTAGCATAACTCATTAGCATATGCTACACCCCCTGACATCACTGGAAGTGTGTCATAAGGCCACACACCCCACCCCCAACAGTCCTGGCCGCCGCTGGCCTTGCAGTTCCACTGCCGAGCCCCATGAGGGGCCCTGCGGTGGACCTGCAAGGCCGGCGGGAGTGCAAGGAAGCCCCGCGAAGGCCCTCCCTGGCCCCAGGCAGGCAGGGGTGGGGAGAGGCAGGGAGGAAGCAACTTACCCTCCCTCTTCTCCTGCCTCCTCCTGGCTGAATGAGGGCCGGAAGCGGGGCGGCCGGAAGCAGGGGGCGGGGCTTCGTCATGTGCCCCCCCCGTACCTCACCCGGGGGAACTGCGATCCCCACGATTCCCCCCCGAAATGACCTCTGCGCAGGATGAATTTGTGTGCTGCCTTGTAGGCAAAGGTGGGGTGTCATCGTTCTCCAACCCACTAGTCACTCCATGCTCAGACCAGCAGGCCAGAACAGAGTGCCACCAAGCCCGTGCTCCTTCTTGCAGGGCAATACCAGGCATTGCTGTTCTTCATCCCACTGGCCATTTCATGCTTAAACCATCAGGGCAAAGCCAGGTATCACCATGTCCATGCTCTACCTTGCAGTTTTCTATTGAAAGTGTGTATGTGTGTGTGCGTGCTAAAATCATTGTTCTCCTGGGGCACCAAAAGGCCTTAGACAAGACCTGAGCAGTGGAGCAGGATCTGTTCAGCATGGGTCTGGGTCTCAGTAAGGATATAAATCGAATCGAATAATAAAATAACAATGAGTGAAGTCTTGTCCATAGGCCCATGTGCACAGTGCAGAGACCACCTACCGCAGCCTGTTCCAGGGTTGTTTTAGCACCCCAGGCCCCTCCCAAAAGATGGGAATCTGACCCCCCTCAATGTCTCAGTGTATGTAGGGATAGTCCTCCCCAATTGTCCTGTGGAGCTGAGATTTGAGCTTTGATGGAGGCAAAACAACTGGAAATATCTGAATTTTTTTTTTAGGATCTCTTGTTGGCATGCTACATGGTGTACTGACAGTATGTGCTAGAGTGGAGGTGGGATTTTATGCCTGCGAAATGTTACTCTCTTTTATGTAGTACTATAAGCTGTTTAAAATGGATGAAAATGCATTACTGGAGAAATGTTCCCTGGAACAAAAAGTGGATAAATTGCAAAATTGCTGACCATCAGATTACAAATTTGAACAGAAGGCTTTTAAAATCATTCCACAAAATCTAAAACACTGAAGTCCAGATTACACCTCTGCCTTAAATAAAAAACAGGCAAAGGGATTTTTCCCCTGAGAACTTCCTTATTCTGTGAGTCATCTCTTTATTAAACCTGACCATACCCTTAAGAGCCATTTTCATGTTTTAACTTCTACTTCTTTGCATAAGACTTCTTAATTTTTGCATCAAGGTTTCCAAAACATTCTTGTCTTGAACAGCAACACCAAAAAATGCCAATAGAACAAACACCACTACGTTGTTCTTACAATTGTTCTCATTAGAAAGCTATCCTCATTTGTCCAACTGTGAAAAAATACATTATAGAGTTTTAGATTTCTTTTACTTAGGTTATTTATACCCCATTTTTCTCCCCAAAGGGGATTCAACTTGTTTTACAACTTTGTTTTCCCCCTCTCCATTTTAGCCCCCCAACAAGCCTGTGAGGTAGGTTAGGCTGAGTGTAGAAAAGAGCAAGAGTCCAGTAGCACCATAAAGACTAACAAAGTTTGTGGCATGAGCTTTCATGAGTCACTGCTCACTACTTCAGATACAGGTAGAACGTGAGTCCATCTGTCCTATATTTTGGAGAGTGGAGCAATTTCAGATGCTGAATGACATTAGCAGGTTAATGACAATAACAGGTGATTGGTGAATGACAATAGCAGGCATGATTGCACTATGCAGGGTAGTAGTAGGCATGGAGAAATTAGCATTGGTAATGAGACAGGAAACCTAGGTTTCAATTCAGTCTAGGAGGATGCATTGTTTTGATCTATCACTTAGGCTGAGTGTGTGTGACTGGTCACAGAGTGGTGATTCACACCTGGACCTCCCAGATTATAGTCCAGCTATCTATTCACTGCCCCACTGGTGCTCACAATAGATTCACTTTGGCTGTGGAGGAAGTGCAAATACTAGGATCCTACTATGGATTTTTGCATCATTTAATTGTGTCATGTTAATACTTACGCTTTGCTTCAGTTCGGTTTTGATTGGTTCTACAACACTAATCCAATTGCATTGTTTATTAAATGTCCCATCTGATTGTATTGATTCACTATGTATAATCCACCTTGAGTCCAAGTGAGAAAGGCAGACTATAAATAATGTAAACAAACAAACAAACAAACAAACAATACTTTATTGAAACAAATGCAATTGATAGTTATAATCTGCACATGCACTGATGTTCTGCTTTCCTTTAAATTTAGAGGAAGCTTTGAGTATGCTGGATGTTATTTTGGTTGCAGTAAAATCTCTGAAAAGTTTTGTGATGAACAATAACCTTTTGATGTTGATATATACTAAATGGTTCATCTCTATCCTAGACTTTTATTCCAAATGATCCACAGAGTCCTACAGTTCACATTCGGATCTAATTCATGCAGACCTTTTGGAGTGCTGGGTACAGTTAGTATACAAGCTTGTGGTGAGCCAATAAGCTATGTAGTGACATACTCTGGTGTGAGTTAACTCTTAGTTGCTGGTCACACTTTCACGTTTCTGGGGTTTATCTACTCTGTGGGGCAAAAGCCCTGATCTGGATAGCCTGATCTTGCCAGATCTTGGAAGCTAAACGGGGTCAGCCCTGGCTAGTATTTGGATGGGAGACATCCAAGGAGTACCAGGGTCATGACATGGAGGTAGGCAATGGCAAACCATCTTTCTCCAAAGTTTTAGCAGGCTTTTAATTGGAACACTGTCAGTTGAAGAGGCCCTTGTTGCACAAGGAGTTCAGACATCCACATGTGCTTTGGGGTGTTATCCTTTGCTTGCAGGAGTTAAAAAAAGATGTAGTTTAACAGCAAACATGTGGGTATTTGCTGGCTTTGTATGCCTTTCTTTACAGATTGCCTTCTGTAGGCAGATTGGCCATTGCTTGTGGCCAGAGATTATTCTTGATGGGCTAGAAGTTGATCAAGCATGACAGCTGCTCTGGATTTGAGGGGAAAAATACAATAAACAGATGCTAATTCTACTTAGGCCTCAACCTCAGAATTATAATCCTATTTATGACATCACAATTGGTTGCTGTGGGAACAATATTGGTATCATGAGGAGAGACTTGTGGGAGAGCTCAAGCGAGGAAATAAGCAGCTGGAACAGATGACCTTTCTTTCTTTTGCAGAAATGTGGCTCCTGATTTCAAACAAAACAAGGTTTCAAATAAAAAGAACGGGACCAAAGGAAGTGCATAAACACTATTGTTTCAGAGACAGAGCATGTTTGTTTGAGTTTTCTAGTAGTTGTCATGTAGCTGCTCTGATAAAGCCACATACAGAAGCCAGAGAGGTGGTTGTATGTGTGACTCATGGATCTCCAGTTTGGCATGGATTTATTTCCCCTTTGATGGATGAATCTGTACTTCCCATTCCTATTAATATCACTGGAGACCTATTCTTCTATTTACTCCCATTCAACTTGGGGTAGAAGTGTTGCATTATAATAAATGTGAGCCTCTTGCCACAAACTGCAGCCTTAAGTCGAGTTCCCCCCATTCTTCTCCACAATCTGTAGTGTAATTTAGGAGGAGGCAGTGGAGAAAGTGAGAAAGGTGTTACTATCACTGGTCAGCAGAGGAGGATGTAGCGGGGGGGCAGAAAGAGTACGGGCAAGTGAAGAGGTGAAAAAGGGAGAGAAAGAGCCAGTGGGAGGTAGAGGAAGAGAGATAAAAGAATGGGGCCCTCTTTAAGTCTTGTGGGTTCCCACTTGTTATATCTAATTGTGAGCTGGGTTCTAGAGTGTGGATCAAAAATCCACACAATGGGAGCATGAACCTATGGGAAGCTCAGAGTTTCAGAAAAATCTGAAATAAAAAAATGAAAAATGAGAGAAGACAAGAGTTATTGGAAAAGACAATAATGCAAGGAAAAGTTGAAGTCAGCACAGGAAAAGAGGAAGACCCAACATGAGATGGATTGACTTGATCAAGAAAGCTATGGCCCTCAGACTGCAAGAGCTTAGAATGGCTGTTAATGATAGGACGTTTTGGAGGACATTAAATCATAGGGTCACCATAAATGGGAAGTGATTTGATGGCACTTCACACACACACACACACACGACCCTATGACCTCACCCCTTAAAGGAAGTGACCACATGCAGAATGCCGTCCAAAACAAAAGGTTAATGCTTCCACTGGTTTTATTGGAATTACTATTGATTA